GAAGACGCAGAATTCGCATCCTTATTTCACCGAGGAACGGTTTCTTCGCTGCGAAGAGGCATTCAACGAAGCCGCCGACTTTATGGCCGAAATAATTACTACAGCCGAACAAAATCAAGCCATTCCGTCCACGTCTCGCTTGCATTTTCAAGAGGGAAGGATTGCAACCCGCCTACCGCAATTACGTCTGCCTCAGTTTGATGGGAGTTTCAGCGCCTGGGAAACATTTAGAGATAAGTTTTCCTCTCTCATTATAAACGATCAATCTTTAAGCAATGTCGATCGCATGCATTATTTGTCTTCATGTCTTATCGGCGATGCCAATAGCGCATTGGCACATCTCGCGATAACCGAAGCAAACTTTCCGGTCGCGTGGAAAATATTAACTTCGCGATACGAAAATAAGCGTCGTTTGATTTCCTTTCATATTCATGCGCTGCATAATTTACCTACTGTCAATTCCGAAACCTATAAAAATCTGCGCGATTTAAGCGATAAAGTTAACGCGTCGATACAAGCGCTAATCAATCTTGATCGACCGGTAAAACAATGGGATGATATGTTAGTTTATCTTGTTACGCAGAGACTTGATACGTCCACAAGAAAAGCGTGGGAACTTCACCTCGGCGACAGCCTTGATTATCCGTCATTTAGCCAGCTAAATAACTTCCTCGATTCGCGTATTCGCGCGTTAGAGTCTTTGCCTCAACCGTCTTACGCCAAAGGCAGAATTGTTTCGCAAACAATGTCGAATTCAAAATCAGAACAGTTAAAAACCGTCTCGGTTAATTCCATGTCTGTATCGTCCGCGTGTCCCGTTTGCCAAGCCAATCATTTAATTTACCAATGTGCCCAATTTCAAAACCAAACGCCAGCGCAACGGTACGCGATGATAAAAAATTTTAAACGATGCGTCAACTGCTTCAGTGCGAAACATACAGTCAAAGACTGTGCGAGCGAACGGTCTTGTAAACAATGTAAACGCAAACATCACACAATGCTACACTTCGCGGACATCACTCGCTCGAATTCTAACGATGCTATTACGTCATCACAACCGCGTAACGTTACCGCTAGCGCTAATATCGCGACCCCCCCTCTCTCGAAGATGGGGAACGACGCTACCGATGCGCTTACCGCGAACCCCACCTCACTCCGAGGCGCGAACTACAATCAAGCCATTCCGTCCACGTCTCGCTTGCATTTTCAAGAGGGAAGGATTGCAACCCGCCTACCGCAATTACGTCTGCCTCAGTTTGATGGGAGTTTCAGCGCCTGGGAAACATTTAGAGATAAGTTTTCCTCTCTCATTATAAACGATCAATCTTTAAGCAATGTCGATCGCATGCATTATTTGTCTTCATGTCTTACCGGCGATGCCAATAGCGCATTGGCACATCTCGCGATAACCGAAGCAAATTTTCCGGTCGCGTGGAAAATATTAACTTCGCGATACGAAAATAAGCGTCGTTTGATTTTCTTTCATATCCATGCGCTGCATAATTTACCTGCTGTCAATTCCGAAACCTATAAAAATCTGCGCGATTTAAGCGATAAAGTTAACGCGTCGATACAAGCGCTAATCAATCTTGATCGACCGGTAAAACAATGGGATGATATGTTAGTTTATCTTGTTACGCAGAGACTTGATACGTCCACAAGAAAAGCGTGGGAACTTCACCTCGGCGACAGCCTTGATTATCCGTCATTTAGCCAGCTAAACAACTTCCTCGATTCGCGTATTCGCGCGTTAGAGTCTTTGCCTCAACCGTCTTACGCCAAAGGCAGAATTGTTTCGCAAACAATGTCGAATTCAAAATCAGAACAGTTAAAAACCGTCTCGGTTAATTCCATGTCTGTATCGTCCGCGTGTCCCGTTTGCCAAGCCAATCATTTAATTTACCAATGTGCCTAATTTCAAAACCAAACGCCAGCGCAACGGTACGCGATGATAAAAAATTTTAAACGATGCGTCAACTGCTTCAGTGCGAAACATACAGTCAAAGAGTGTGCGAGCGAACGGTCTTGTAAACAATGTAAACGTAAACATCACACAATGCTACACTTCGCGGACATCACTCGCTCGAATTCTAACGATGCTATTACGTCATCACAACCGCGTAACGTTACCGCTAGCGCTAATATCGCGACCCCCCCTCTCTTGAAGATGGGGAACGACGCTACCGATGCGCTTACCGCGAACCCCACCTCACTCCGAGGCGCGAACTACATTACCGGCCCGCAACCAGTAAACCATGTAAATTTTAAAGTACCCGCGCCAACGTCATCCGTTTTACTTGCGACCGCTCGCATTCGAATGTTTTCGTCAGTTGGGCAATTCGTCTGTGTGCGTGCATTGTTAGATCAGGGATCTGCGATTACCCTTATCACTGAAAATTTAGCCCAATTATTACGCTTACCCAAGTTAAAGCGCAGTGTATGCATATCAGGGGTAGGAGATACCGGTACGTTAGTGCGTCACGCTGTCAATATATTGTTCACACCCTTGCGAGCATCCGCACCGGTTTTCGAAACAACCGCTCTAGTTCTCAAATCTCTCACTAAGTACGTCCCGAACCGCGTGCATTCTGTTGATCGATGGTCTCATATCGAAAATCTTAATCTAGCCGATAACGACCCCATGAGTTCCGACCCGATCGATATTTTGATTGGAGCGGACTTATATGGCTCCATAATTCTTGACGGAGTACGTAAAGGTCTCGTAAATCAACCTATTGCGCAAAATACCAGTCTTGGCTGGATTTTGTCCGGTCCTGTTGCTCCCTCCAACGATACCTTATCCGCTCCTTCCCATCATACTCTTGCATGGGATACATTAAACAAGGATCTTCGTCGTTTCTGGGAAATAGAAGAGCTTCATGATAAAGCTCATTTAACGCCAGAAGAAATCCAGTGCGAGGAGCATTTTTCGGCAACGCACTCCCGCACTCCTAGCGGCCGTTACATGGTTCGCCTTCCATTTAAGGACAATCCCTCCATCCATTTGGGCGAATCGCGCATTTCCGCGCTCACTCGATTTCATCAATTAGAAAAACGATTTTCTCGCGAACCCGCGCAACACGTCGCATATCGTGACTTCATGGAAGAGTATAGGCTTCTTCACCACATGGAACCCGTTAGTTCGAAATCGGTCACTTCTAATTCTTGTTATTACATCCCTCATCATGCTGTCTACAAAACAGACAGCGAGACCACGCCGATCCGAGTTGTTTTTAATGCCTCCAGTCGAACTTCATCCGGAAAATCCCTAAATGATTGCTTGTTAATTGGACCGAAATTACAAACCGATCTTTCATTTATTTTAATTCGATGGCGGCACCTTCGATATGTTTATATAACTGACAGCGCTAAAATGTATCGTCAAATTTTATTGGATCCTCGCGATAGGGACTATCAAATCATATTTTGGCGTAACACCAACGCTGATCCCTTAAGTGAATTTCGTTTGTGCACTGTAACCTATGGCACGGCTCCCGCTGCATTCTTAGCTCAACGCGTTCTAATGCAACTTGGCGAGGACGAAGGTGCTGCTTACCCTCTTGCTTTGCCCGTTTTGAGGCATCAAATGTATGTCGATGATTTTATTTTCGGAGCAGATGATCTGCAGTCAGCCATTAACACTCGCAATCAACTAATTTCACTACTTCATAAAGGTGGGTTTCGATTACGAAAGTGGGCGAGCAATTGCCCATCCTTACTGCAAGGAATCGACCCTTCCGATCATGGACTTGCATACGAAAAACCTCTCAAAGGTGACGAATATGTGAAGGTCTTAGGAATTTTTTGGAATCCCGATTCCGACGCACTGAAATACCGCGTTCGAGTGCAAAATGAGCCACGCTGCTCAAAACGAACTATTTTATCGCTAATTTCTCGGTTATTCGATCCGCTTGGTCTGGTGGCTCCTGTAATCATCACCGCCAAAATATTGATGCAAAAATTATGGGCAATCAAATGCGGATGGGATGAACAACTACCCCCTCCTTTGATTCGCGAATGGGAGCAGTTCTGTTCCTCCTTGGCAGATTTAAATAATGTCTCGATCAGTAGATGGACGCATCATTCCAGCAACATCCTTCATTATTCGCTGCATGGCTTCTCCGACGCATCCAGTCACGCCTATGCTGCGGTCGTTTATTGCCGAATAATTGCCACTGATGGTTCAGTGTTAGTCACAGTACTCATGGCCAAATCCAAGGTCGCTCCTTTGAAGACTCTCAGCATCCCGCGCCTAGAACTATTGGCCGCGCTTTTGTTATCCAAGCTGATATCTGCCATTCGTGCTGCGCTCCCGTACGAAAATATTGAATGTCATTGTTGGACCGACTCTACCATTACGTTGGCCTGGCTGCAGCAATCTCCTTCCCGGTGGCAAACTTTCGTGGCTAACCGCGTGTCTGAAATCCAAACCAAGCTTCCCGATGGTAGTTGGCATTACGTGCCTTCGAAAGAAAATCCAGCTGATTACGCTTCCCGCGGTCTTTACGCATCGCGTGTCTGAAATCCAAACCAAGCTTCCCGATGGTAGTTGGCATTACTTGCCTTCGAAAGAAAATCCAGCGGATTACGCTTCCCGCGGTCTTTACGCAGCTGAGCTGCAATCACAACGATTGTGGTGGGAAGGGCCCGCATGGCTTCGCCTCCCTCCCTCGCAGTGGCCTGCCCAACCATCACCACCGGACTTATCTGCTCTGCCTGAACAACGTCGTGAAAGGATTGTTTGCCTTTTAATGCCTGATCCATCTTGTCCTTGGGCAGATCGATTTTCGTCATGGCCAAAGCTTCTTCGAGTCTTTGCTTATGTCTTCCGTTTTTTGTCAAATTCTCGCCCTTCCGCGACGCCGACCTTGAAATCCAACCCGGGTATTCTTTCACTTGGCAGTCACTCCATTTTACATCCGCATGAAATTCAATCCGCAAAATATTATCTACTCCGAAGCGTTCAACTCGACTCGTTTCCAAGGGAATATCAACAGCTCTCTAACGGTCAGCACGTAGCGAAATCCAGTCCCTTAGCCTCACTTAATCCTTTCTTGGACTCCAACAAACTAATTCGAGTTGGGGGACGCTTGCAAAAATCTGACTTTCCAGACAAATTAAAACACCCTATCGTGCTCCGATCTCATCACATCCTAACTCTTATAATCTCACATTACCACTTGCGAACTCTGCACGCTGGTCCCTCGCTCACCCTTGCTTCACTCCGTGATGAGTATTGGATCATCCGCGCGCGTTCTACCGTTCGTTCGTTTTAAAGCGTTGCGTTCGCTGCGCTCGAGAAAACGCGATCGTGCCCACGGAACTCATGGGATCGTTACCTGCTGTCCGCATCACGCGTTCTACTCGCGCATTCGTTCACACCGGCGTGGATTATGCAGGGCCTATACTCGTGCGCGAAGCATCAGGCCGCGGACGCAAGTCTCATAAAGCTTATATTGCTATATTCATTTGCATGGCGACGAAAGCCATACACCTTGAGCTCGTGCACGATTATGGGTCCTCCGCTTTCATCGCAGCTTTTCACCGCTTTGCCGCCCGGCGAGGGTTACCTCAATCCATGTATTCTGATAACGGCACAACCTTTCAAGGGGCAGAACGTGAACTTGTCGCTGCACATCGCGCAGCAATACGCGATCCCAATTTTTTGAACAAAATGGCAGCTGAATCTATCAACTGGCAATTCATTCCACCTGCAGCTCCTCATTTCGGAGGACTGTGGGAAGCAGGTGTACGTAGCGTTAAATACTATTTAAAAAGGTGCGCTGGCAGCCACCTACTTACTGTCGAAGAAATGACTACACTCCTTTGTCGCATTGAAGCTATTCTAAATTCACGCCCCATTGCTGCCGTATCCGAAAACATGGATGATTATAATGCGCTTACGCCTGGCCATTTTTTAATCGGGGCCCCCTTAATAGCGGTTCCTGAACCTAGCGTTTTAGAACTTAATGAAAATCGATTGTCCCGATGGCAACTCGTGCAACGGCTTTCTGAAATTTTCTGGCGAGCATGGTCACGCGACTATTTACATACACTCTAACAGCGCCCGAAATGGCGCTTGGCGCAACGTTTAGCTGCCGTCGGCCGGATAGTTTTATTGCGTAATCCACAGACTGCGCCGTCCCAATGGGAGTTAGGCCGTATAACTGCCTGCCATCCCGGCGAGGACGGGTTAACTCGAGTCGTAACGGTCAAAACCGCTCGTTCCACGTATACGCGACCAATAGGAAAATTATGTTTTTTACCGGTTGACATCAACGAAACCGATGAAC